GGGGGGGGGGGGGGGGGCGGCAAAGCGCAGGGTGAGCCGCCCAGACGGCCTGTGCACGCGCACGTGTGGGCCACACCTGGGAGGGAGTGAGGAGCCCGGGATCCTGGGGGCAGGGGCCCGCCCCAGCAGCCCGGATCCTAAAGACCAGCTCGAAGCTACAGGTGGTCTACTCACCCTGTTTCCTCATCTGCCAGAAGGGAACAAGAGGACTCCTCTCCGGAACCCCAGTGACCCCCAGCCCGGAACTGAAGGGTGGGGCTCCGAGGGGTCACCCGGGGAGGGAGGCCAGCCTCTCACCTGGGCCTCCTGGGCTCCAGCAGCGTCAGCAGCACCTGGATTCCGCTCACGATGACGGACTGGCTCTGCTCCCCCTCCAACATGTTGCTCAGAAGCTGCTCGATCGTCTCCTGCCTGGGGCGGGGGTGGCAAGCGTCAGGGAGGAGGGCCCCCAGATGGCTCCCCCTTCCCTCTGGACTGGGCACCACCTGCAAACCCACTTCTCCAGGGTGGCCAACAGCTGGTCAGGCTCCGGGCTGTCCTGCACTTGGATCACCTGCTCCCGGCTCAGGCGGATGATGTCGCACAGGGACTGGGATGCGTTGGAATGTTGCTGGGGACGGGGGAGACAGAGCTGACACCCCGGCCCCGCCCTGGTGTCGGGAAGCCCTACAAGCTGAAGACTGGGCACCCGCCCCCGAGGACAGAGGGTCACACAGACCCCGGGACACAAGTGCCGAGGGAGAGAACAAGAGCACCAAACACTGGGAAGGCAGAGACGACAGAGAAAAAAGGAAACCAAAGACGACTTCCTGGAAAAGGAGACACCCCACACAGACACCACACTATGCACAGTAGCTACAGAGGAGAACAACCCGGGCATCCACTAACTGGTGAACAGATAAGCAACTGTGGTCTATCCACAAACTCAAACGTTCTCTGGCCTTAGAAAAGGAGGAAGCGCTGACACACACTACAACATGGATGAACACAGACAACCTGGCGCTAAGGCAAAGAGGCCAGTCACAGAAGACCCTGCATCATGCAATCCACTTATACGAAACGTCCAGAACAGGCAAACCCAGAGACAGAAAGCAAACTGGTGGTTGGTGGGGGCCAAGCAACCACGTGGGAAATGGGGAGCGGCAGCTAATGGGTACAGGGTTTCCTTTGTGGAGTGATGAAAAATACTCTAAAATCAACGTGGCAAGGGCTGCACATCCCAGTGAACATACTAAAAGCCACTGAATCCTATATTTTAAATGGGTGAGTTATGTGATATGTAATAAAGTTGTTGCAAGATAAACAAAGAAAACCATAAGCAGGGCTCTGAGTCTAACCCAACAGGTGCTTCCAGGGCCCACCCACACAGACCCCCGACCCATGCAGACCAACCAGGTCACGGGCTGCACTTCAGAGCCCCTCACAGATGCCCTGCCGCCTGGCTCATGGCAGATACCCCTAGTCCCTCTGCCACAAAGGCCTGGACTGTCATCACTCTCCCAGGCCAGGCACTAGCTGAGTGCCTGGTGCTGACTACCTGCGCCTGTGGACCTCTGCCTGCAAGCCAGTGGGCCGGGCGGACAGACTCAGGGCTCCTGGGTGGCTTCTTTGAAGGACCGGCAGAGCTGATCCAGGCACAAGAGACAGGAAGAGCCACCAGGCCACAGAGCGAGCAACAGAGGGGAGGAGGAGAGGGGCCCCTGAGAAGGGCAGCAGCGAGGGGCCAGGGCCAAAGGACCCGCTTCAGAGCCCTGAGCCCTCAAGGGATGATGGGCCAAGCTCCTGAGAAACGTTCCATGTGTGTACACCCCTTTTCTGTTCTCAGCAGGAGCCCCCCGCTCAAATACACACAGTTCCAAATGCCTCCTTTTCTCAGCAACTCGTTTAAGAAGGGAGTGGAGGGGCAAGCTGGTGTGGGGCGGAGGCTGGAAACATCAGGTGGGTGGGCTGCACTCACATTGTCATCCTTCGATGGGTGGATCTGCTCGATGAGCCGCTGGACAATCTTCTCCTCATTGAGCCACTGGGGGTGAGAAGGTGGCGCTCCGCTCACTGACCCCGCTCCTGCCGCCCGCCCCGCCCAGCTGCCCCGCCGCGGCCCCCCCAGCACTCACGTTGACCACGTCCTGCCTCAGCTGCGGCCGCTCTACGCAGGTGAGGAGGCGCAGCAGGAGGTCCATGATGGCGGAGGTGCCGATGTGCCGCAGCAGCAGGTCCACAAAATCGTCCTTCTTCCGCAGGAAGGACACGAGCTAGGGACACAGGGACCGGACGTCAGCGCGGGCCCGGGCCTACGCCCACCCTCCCACCCTCCTTGGGGCCCCAGGCACCTGGTCGGTCTTGCGGTTGATGAGGACGCCCATGACCTTGCTGAAGAAGCTGGCCAGCAGCGGGTTGAGTCTGCCGCTGCTCTGCAGGAAGCCATAAAGCCGGTGCAGGAGGGACTCGTCCGCACCCAGCGCGTCGTTGATCTGGGGCACGTCCAACGTCAGGATCTCGCAGGCCACGCTGGGGTACCTGACATACCCGGAAAGGGCCAGGGAGGGCACGGTGGGGGCGGAGGCCAAACCACCCCGCCTCCCAGTCGCAGCCCACTCATGCTCCCCACCCCCCAAGGCAGCATCCAGCCTCCTGAGCCTGGACCTGACCCCCTATCAACACCTGTCCCTCTAGTCCCTCTACCCCCAACCCTCCAGTCTGACCCAGGCCCAGCCCTGATGACCCTTCTAAAATCCAACCTCATCCCCTCACCTCCTTGCACAGACAGGGAGAGGACTGCCCCACCCAGTGTGCCACCCAGGGCCCTGGGGGACCACAACCTTCTCCAGCTCTGCCCCATAAACTGTAAGGCCTCTGGGAAGCAGGTTCCTTGAGGCACAGCAGGGACCCCAGGGGCAGCTCGGCACAGGTGTCAGAATGGAGGCTCCCTGCTACTATGAGCAAAAGCCCAGTCCACGGGGCCACTGGACACGCTCAAGGGGGTACAGAGGCCAGGCGAACAAAGCAAAGAAGGGATAAGACACACGTGGGGGCAGGTAAGTGACAGATGAACACTGGGGGACACAGGGGACACTCTGCTGGCCCCCCAGAGGTCCCCACTGTGCACCAGGCCCCACACTAAGCAGCTGGCAGCACCTCACAGACCCCCACTTCACAAAGGGCAAAGTGAGGAGAAGCAGTCACCCCCTCCCCATGTGGCTCAAGACCTCCAGGGACAGAAGATGCAGAGCTCGTAAGGACCACCTGCGTGTCTATAGTGTGAGGGGACAGGGAGAGGGCAACACCAGGGAACCAAGAGGATTGTCCAGGACAGACTGAGCAGGGCTCAAGAAGGGCAGCAAAGGGACTTCTCTGGTGGTGCAGTGGTTAAGAATCCACCTGCCAATGCAGGGGACACGGGTTCGAGTCCTGGTCTGGGAAGATCCCACATGCCGCAGAGTAACTAAGCCCATGCTTAGTTACAGCGGCAACAAGAGAAGCCACTGCAACGAAAAGCCCGTGCATCGCAACGAAGAGTAGCACCTGCACCCGCTTGCCACAACTAGAGAAAGCCCACGCACAGCAATGAAGACCCAACACAGCCAAAAATAAATAAATAAATAAATAAAAAAGAAGGGCAGCAGAGACCAGGGCAGACAGAAGCCTCCCGTCATGGAGACGATTCCTACTGACCCTCAACAGGGCCCTGCCCTCTTCGCCCACCCTCCCTGGCACACCCAAGGGCCCTATGGTGGGAGGGAAGGGCAGAAGAGCATGGGGGAGGGGGCACAGGCACACCCTTAGCACCTGGCGTCATGCTGGGCACTGGGGATGTGGGGGGTGAGGGGGCAGGCCTCACGCTGCCCATACTCCAAAAAGGGAACAAAAATCCAACTGAATAAACCATGGAAATAAAGTGGGGGTGGGGTGTGGGCCAATGAAACACACTGCCCAAACACGGTGCCCCTAACGGCTGGGGAAGGGTCCGCGGGTTCGTTCTGCCCACCCCTCCATCTGGGAGATATCTGGGAAGTCCCGTAACAAAAACGGGAGTCAACAATGTCCACAGCAAGTCGGGGTGTCCCACCGTGGGGGACCGACAGGGCGGGGCTCACTTGTAGCGCAGCCGCTCCTCGCCGCTGGCCGGCGGCTCCTGGGTGACCCAGGCCACCATGGCCTGCAGGTGTGGCGGCTGCAGCAGAAAGTCCAGCAGCTTTCGGTTGATGACCTTGCACTCCTGCAGCACGTCCTCCTCGTCCAGCAGCTCGGGCAGGCTCAGGTCGTCCCGCTCCAGCAACGTGTCGAGGTGCGAGCTCGTGTGCAGGTCAAACTTCCAAAACATGGCGCCCTGCGGGCAGGGGCTGTCACACGTGGGGTCCGACCCCGCCCGCTTCCCTCCACCTCCCAGCCTACGAGGACCACCCTATGGGTGACTGTCCTGTCCACTGCCGAGCCCCCAGGCCTGGGGAAGACCCCCGGGTGCGACCACACACAGGCCCCGTGGAAAACAGCCCCGACGCTGTGCACGGAGCCGCCATGATCCTGTCCCCCGCAGGGCCTGTGTCCACTGTCCCCACATCTAGGCTGGAACTGTGCTCATCCTGGAACCTCTGGCATCAGACTCGCTTCAATCTGCATTGCCGAACAAATTAAAATGCCCCATGACAGCCAGCACGGTTGCCATCCAGCCCAGCAATCTCCGTGCTGTGTGCAGGGTGTGCGGTAGGGGCAGAGGGAGGAAGGTCTGCGACGTCTCCAGGCTGTGGCCGCTGCCTGGACACCACACACACACACACACCCCAAGCCCCCGTACCCAGTGCCATGACAGGAAGAAGAAAAGTTTGAGGGGAGGGGGTGGCAGCTCCCAGAACAGCCGCTGCCCGGGGCCAAAAGGAACCAGGACAGGGAACCACCTTAGCAGGGAGGACGGAAAGCCAGCGCCCAGCACTGGAGGATGGCAGCTCGCTGGCCAGCACTGGAGACCCTGTACGCCTGGCTGTGGCCCACCCCACCCGGCACTGGCCTTAGGGCCATCTCGGGTGTAGCACTGACTAGGTGCCAGGGGGGTCCAAGCCCTCGACCAGCAGGGATTTGGCTGCTCCTCTGAAGATTTCTACAGGCTCCCAGCGTCGACCACCGGGTAGAGACCCGCCCTGAGCTGGCCGCCAGTTCCCAGGTCACTTGCTGCCCACTCAGGTTCCCTATGCGCCGGGTGCTGTGCCTATGGCCCTTGGGAGGGGCTGTGGTCACCCCACTGTATGGGCAACCACACCCGGGTAAGCTGGGCCCCCCAAGCACCGTGCGGGCGCTGACCAGAGCTCACGCACGTCAGCCACCTTGTGGAGACCACCTGAAGCAGAGACCACTGAAGACAGACCCAGAGACCAGGATGCCCCTCCTGGAACCTCCCAGATGCGCACGCCAGTCCCTCTCCTACAAAGCCCTCCCTTGCCGTTTCTGGCCCACACCATCCCAACCACGGAGAGCATGCTTGCCAGATGGGGCACCAGCCCAGGGGAGAAAGACGCTCGACTCGGGAAGCAGCTGGGGCTGAAAGCGGGGCAGAGCTGGGTGGCACGTGTGGCCGTGGGCAGGAGACTGGCCTTCTGCCCCTCGGTTCCTTCAAGACGCCACCGGCACCCAGCTCTCCCTTCCAGCCTCCTCAGGAGCCTCACTTATCTCCTCCCAGCCCTCAGGGTGACTTCTCAGTGACTGGGAACAAGTGGCTCTAAATCTGCAATCCCTGCCAGGACTCATGTCAGTTCCTAAGCCCTGGCCACCTACGGTTAAAGGTGGAGTGGACGAGCCATGACCTCGGGAGACAGCAGCAGACACCGACCCCAGACAGTGGGTGGGCATAGGGGGCACTTGAGGGCCCCCAGTCCCACAGGCCTCATGGGTCCTGTCCGACAGCATGCCGGGACCACCCCCTTAGCCCTGCACCCCACTCCACTCAGGACGCTTTTCTGAAACACAAACGTGAGCACTTCATGCTTGTCCCCCCAGGAGACCCTGAGGTGGCTCCCCCGTCTCCGCACGAAGACCCTGAGGGCCCCTGACCATCTCCTGGCGCTCCCCACCCAGGACCTCCTGCTCTTCAGCACTCACCGTCCCAGTCCTGTCTGAGTATGTGCACCAGGCTTTTCACACCTGCCACCCCCTTGGCCAACCCACCTCCACGTGTGTGCCGAGCCCAGGCCACGTCCCCTGGTACCACCCTGTCCCCGAGCAAGCTCTGGCCTGGCTGCTCACATGTCGCCCCGCGACTGCCCTTTCAGGGCGCATCTCCTTCAGAGCCTGCGGCCCCCTGAGAAGCCTCTTGTGTGACGTCACTGCCTCCAGCCCTAGGCCTCTGGGTCTGCGGGAATGGGGGCATACTGCGGACAACACGCCAGACACATGAAGTGGACAAACCACGTTAGCTGCACCCCCGACACCGTTCCCAGGCCCACACAGCCATTATCTCAATCTACCCTCACAATCCCCCCAAGGAAGGAACCGATGGCCCCATTTTACAGGTGAGGAAACTGAAGTACACAGAGGTGTGGGGGCTGGTGAACTGTGGAGGTGGCACCCAAACCCCAGGAGGCAATTGCTCAGGGTGCAGGGCCTCATCCCATTCACTGGTGCCCAGCCACTGCCAATGAACACTCACAAAATAAGTGAGTGAGCTCAGGCCCAAGGTGGTTGCCAGCACTGGCTCTGCCCTGGCTACGGCCTTCCCTAACCTGGCTCTCACCAGCTGACACACTCAGGGAGCTGAAGGCCAGCTCTTTCCTGCTCCCTGCGGGGCTTAGCGAAACGCTCAGCCTCAAGTCTAGCACTTACTCAGTGGACATCTCTGAGTTCAGGGAGGAAGGCTGGGCCAGATCCCTCACAGCCTATACAGCCCTTACGCTAAATGTGCCCTGATAGGATGGTGGACAACGCAGAGAGAACCTTCCTTGCTGGGCTGCTGTGAGCACCCTGGACAGCACCTAGCACGGTACCTGGCATGCAATTTGTGCTCAGAAACACTGACTGAAAGACACCCCAAGTTTTCCCACGGACCCTGCTCCTGAGGCAGGAAGCTGACATACCTGTCAGGGAATCAGTAAAGGGACCCGCTCCCACCCTGTCTCCCCTAGCCACACTCAGAGGCTCCCTATAAACCACAGTCACAGGTCGTCTGGGGTGGGGTAGGGGTGACCACCAGGGCAGGCACGCTGGGGATGGGAGGAAGGAGAGTGGGCTGAACCCGGTGCCGAACGTGGGTCCCTGTGTCGGAGTGAGGACCACTGCTCCAAAAGGAAATCAAGGCAGCACCCCCGGCTCTGCAAGTGCTCAGAGACCTGCCTTTGCACGAGGGCAATTCCCCACTTCTGCCCAGTTCCCAGACCTCTAAGGGACCCTTCCACCGTCCTCTTCACTTCAAGACACAGCCGGGCCTGGATCTGTTTCCTGAGCTAGGTGGATCTGGGACCAGAATCACTTCAAGGGGCAGCCACTGCTGGGCCCAAGGGACAAGGAGCTCGCCATGGCGAGAACACCACCTCTTTCTACATCACAGACTTGTGCGGCGATAAGGAGACCAGAGAGGTCAAAAGGCCACCCAGGTGGAATGAACAAAGCCAATCACCAAAGACTACGTCGTATATTTCCATTTACATGAAACATCCAGAAAAGGCAAATCCATAGAGACAGAAAGCGGATTAGTGGTTTTCAGGAGCTGGTAGACATGGGGGGTGGGGGGGAAGAACTGCTAGAGGGTATGGGGTTTCCTTTTTTTTTTTTTTTTTTTTTTTTTTCCTTGCGTTATGCGGGCCTCTCACTGTTGTGGCCTCTCCCATTTGCGGAGCACAGGCTCCGGACGCGCAGGCTCAGTGGCCATGGCTCACGGGCCCAGCCGCTCCGCGGCATGTGGGATCTTCCCGAAACGGGGCACGAACCCGCGTCTCCTGCATCGGCAGGCGGACTCTCAAGCACTGCGCCACCAGGGAAGCCCTGGGGTTTCCTTTTGGGGAAAGGATGTTCTAAAAAAAAAAGTTCTAAAACCAACTGTATACAACTTTATTTGTCAATGATAGCTCAATTTTAAAAATCCATTGTAGGACCTCCCTGGTGGCGCAGTGGTTAAGAATCCACCTGCCAATGCAGGGGACATGGGTTTCAGCCCTGGTCCAGGAAGATCCCACATGCCGCAGAGCAACTAAGCCCGTGCGCCACAACTACTGAAGCCCGCGCACTCTAGGGCCTGTGTGCCGCAACTACTGAGCCCGTGCGCCTACAGCCTGTGCTCCACAACAAGAGAAGCCACCACAGTGAGAAGCCCGCGCACTGCAACGAAGAGCAGCCCCCGCTCGCCACAACTAGAGAAAGCCCACGCACAGCAATGAAGACCCAATGCAGCCAAAAAAAAAAAAAAAAGAAAGAAAGAAATGGTTAAGCCACAAAATGTCTGGATTAGGATATACTGTCAAAATGGAAAGGAATAAAAAAGTCTATAATAGTCATTAAAATTTGAAAAAAAAAATCCATTGTGGTGACTGATGGTTGCATAACTCTGAATAGACCAGAAACTGTTTAACTGTGCACTTTAAATGAATAAGTCATATATGGTGTATGAATTACATCTCAACCAGAAAACCGTTATCAAAAACAAAACCAAAGCTGCCTGAGGCTGCTGTGACAGAGCCAGGCCTTGGCCTTGCTCTGCATCCAAGACACCCCGAACTGACAAGCCGCCAGGGCAGAGTCGAGGCTGAGGCGTGAAGGCTCCGCCTCGGGAGCACACCCAGGTCTCCCCTCACTGCCAGTGCTGTCCCTGAGCTAAGCAGGCCCCCCAGAGCTGGGGGACAGGGCCCTGCAACCCCTTCAGAGAACCTGTGCACCTGCATGGCACTGTATCTCTAATCAAGACGACTAGGTACAGCACTGTTATTATTCCAATTTGATAGCTGAGGAGATGGGGACCCGCAGGGGTCGAGCCACAGCAGAACCAGGACTCAGTGCCCTCTCCAGAGCACAGGAGGAAATTCTCAAGGCTGAGGCACGCCCACACACTTCCAAAGCATCTGGAGACACGGGCACAGGCTTCACTCCTTCCACCCCACCCCTCCCACCTGCTTCGGACAGCAGGTAGGACTTCCCTCCCAAAGCTAGCTTGCCAGAGAACGGAGAATGGAGAGCAGGTGCGGTGCGGGGGCTGGGGGGTGTGGACTCCAGCGGCCTCAGAAACCAGGTGGCCCCTTAACTCTCAGAACCTCAGGTCCCTCCTCTGAAAATCAGAGAAGGCTGCAAAGATCAGATGCAGTCAAGTGGTAGTCAGTATCCTACAAACATCAGGTCTCAAGCTCTACGCAGAACAAAGATGCAGATACAGAAGTGGAAAAAAGAAAACAGAAAAAAGAGAAAAACACTTTCCTCCGCCACAAACTCTCAATTCACTCTAGCCTCAAGTCCTGACAGTCAATCCCACCTTCCACTTAATGGAACTTCCTGGAAGCCCTGGGAACTGGACAGGAGAGGTGGCTTTCATTCTTACTCTCTAAGGGGGTGAACATGGGCAGGCACTTGGCATCCAAATGCCTTGTTTCCTCATCTGTGAAATGGGGGCACAGCCATCAGGAAGGGCCATTTTATGAGAACAGCTGGGTCAGGCCAGTGGTCCTGATACAGCAGGCGCTCAGCAGGTGTTGGTCTTTCCTATCTGTCCCTGAGGCCAGGCTAGAGCCTGCACACTTCTGAGCAGGAGGGAAGGAACAGCCACTACCCAGAGTGACGACGCTAAAAACAGAAGACCTGAGGAAATGCCCCATTTGCCTGAGTGACCGAGGTCACTAAGTGCTCTGGTGGGCGCCATACACCCTGCCACCCCCACTCGTTGCAACTTTTAGTGAACTTCAAGAAAACGGAAGTGACTACCTACTGGTTTTTAGCGACCGTTTGAAAACCACGACTCTGGCTGCAAACGGAAGAAGGGGAAACTGTAAATGAGAAAGGAAGCCATTAAAAACGAAAACTACCTCTCTCTCTGCCAGCTCTGCACCATCGCCCCAGGTTTCCTGCTTTGCTGCGTTGTTCTCAGGCCTCCGACACCAGCTGCCCCTCTCAGGAGCCTGCCAGCCCCTGGCCCTGCCTGGGCTCAGAGAGGGCCCGACTGCAGCTCCCACAGAGCGTCCCCACTGCCGCTGCTGCCACCGTCCATCCAAACACAGCCCCACCTGCAAGGGAGCCTGTGGGCTGATCCTTTATCTGCCACCCCTTTCTCGCCTGCCCTGGCCCTGAAGCACCCGGAAGTGGAGGTCAAGTGTGAAGAGGCCTCTGGGAGGGCCTTGGGGCGGCCACCTGAGATGACCAGAGACTCCAACATTGGGAGAGGCCAGCTCAGGCCTGCTGCCGCTGCTGCCCTCAGCCACCACAGGCCAACAGGCCCCTAAAGAGACAGCGGCCAGGCGAGCCGCAGGAGGGGAGAACCTGCTGCTGGTTGGCCAGCCCCCAGCCCCTTGCAGGGCCCAGCAGGTCAGAGGACAGCGAAACCACCACCCTCTAACTGCCCCCCGTCCGTCAGCTCTCAGCCAAATCTGAAATGAAATGGGGGTGGGGGACTTCCAATTCCAGGAAGGGGACAATGGATAACAGCAGGACCCAACACAGACCCAGCAAGGTAAGCAGCGGGACATCCATTTGGAAGTAGGGGCCGCAGAAGCCAGAGGAGAGGGACCTGGCCAAGGCCACACGGGACGATGGGCTGAAACTTTACTGTGGCTCATCCTTCCCATGGGGGGGCTGGGGGGTGGGAAGGCAGCAGTTAGGGGCAACACCTCCCACCACTCTGGCGCTAGACCACACCTGCCCAGGGAAGGTGGCAGCTCTGGTCCAACCCCAGAGGATGGAACAATTAGGAAACAGAAGAGAATGGGATACCCGGCCAAGGACTGAGGAGGGGCCCGAAAGCTCCCATTCAGTGCCATCTCCCGGATGGGTTCAAAGGGGAAAAGAGCAACGAATAGATTTTGAAATAGCTCTTGAAAAACAGAGGGCAGGAGTGAGTGTTATAGGGTGATCCAAAGTCAGAAAGGCCTGAGTTCCAATCTGCCTCTCCAAACTCCAATCTCTGGGGCCTTAGACCAGGGACCTCACTCCACTAAGCCTCAGTCTCTTCCCTGAGAGACACCTCACGGTCACTGTAAGACGGCACTTCCCATGGGAAGATCCACAAAACCAGTGTTCGGGGGGGGACCATGGTTCAGCCTGGAAAGGAAGGTGTGTCCCCACCCCCCAGGTACTGAGCCTGCCCAAGCTCCCTTTCGGAGCCCGGCAATGCGGGGAAGGCTTCTGGTTTCCACCAGGGTGTCCAGGCCTCTCTCACCTCATCTCTTGCTGCAACCCGCATGGCGCTCAACACTCCTGCCACACCTGACTGCTCGGCTGCTCCCTCTGCCTTCCCTCCAGCTCTCTGGGCCTGACTAGCTAGCTCCTCGTGGGTCCTTCAGGCTTCAGCACAGACACCACTTCCTCCAGGAAGCCTCCCCTGACTGCGTTAGAGGCCTTCTGCACACTTGCACAGCTCCCGTGGTCACACTACGGATGGCATCCAAGCGCTCTGCAACAGGACTCGCCTGTTCGGTCGCCTGCCTCCCGTAGCAAGATGCCAGTTTCCCGGGACCTAGCATAAGGCCAAGCCCACAGCTAGAAATACTTCTCTTCTTTAACTTATTTTATTGAAGTCTAGTTGATTTACAATGTTGTATTCATTTCTGCCGTACGGCAAAGTGACTCAGTTATACATACATACACATTCCACTTCATATTCTTTCCCATTATGGTTTATCCCAGGACACTGAATATAGCTCCCTGTGTTATACAATAGGGCCTTGTTGTTTTTGACATACTTCTTGAACTGATGAAAACTGGAGTCCAGAGGGGAAAGGCGACCTGCTATGGTCACCTGGCCATGGATCCTGGAAAAACATTGGGTGGGGGGGTGGGTGGGTGGGTTGGGGGGAGACCAGCAGATTCTCCTTTACTGGAAAGCAACAGTAGGTATCCCAACAAAACTAACTACTAAAAACACAAAAGTAAATGAAAGTACACAACTCAGAACATACAGCTGCTCACAGTAGCAAGAAAGCAAATAAGCCACAAGGATACAACACCCATGCAAGAAAGCAGTTTCTCCACTGCAGCACTACTGACAGCTGGGCTGGAAAACACCGTGTTGTGGGGGGCTGTCTTCTGCACTGGAGGGGGTCGAGCAGCATCCCTGGCCTCCACCCACAAGATGCCAGTAGCATCCCCTGAGCTGTAACAACTAAAAATGTCTCCCACCGTTAGTAAACGTCCCCTGGGGGATACCATCGCCCCCCCGCCCCCGAGTTGAGAACCACTGCAATGGATAATCCCAAACTAGATAATAACCCTAAAAGCTCCTCATCCTGGTGCACTTCCTGTGCCTTGCTTTCTGCTACAGGCTTCTACAAACAGCAGCTGAATTCCCAGAACCACCCTATGAGGACAGCACTGACATCAGTGCCACTCTACACCCCACTGAAGTTTCTTCTTTACAACTCTGAAGCCCATCCCACACCTGACAACACATCTTCCTTTCCAGAAACATCCTGCCTTTCAGGCTGGTGTTGCCAGTAACAACTGTGTCCTCGGCACTGACGTACAGGTATGTAAAACATCCAGCAAGAAAGACCCTAACCGGGTCACGTTCAAGGGCCTGGACAAGCAGTCTGACCAAGGTATTCCGCCCGCACTCCCAGCACATCTGCACCGCAGGTGCGCAGACTACTCCTGGGTTCCCACCTTCACACATCTGCACGTGCTGTTCCTTCCACCCAGAAGGCCCTTCTTCCCACTTTCCATCTGTCAACTCCTACTCACCCTTCCTAGATAGAAAAAGCCACCTGAGCCAGTCTCACCAGTCCCTCTGCTCTGTGGCCTCCACAACACCCTGAGTTACCTCTGTCACTACACCAGCAACGGTGACTGTCCGGCTCTGCCTTTGTTTCCCCCGGGGCAGGGCCTGGGCTGGTCCCTCCCTCCCTCTGTGCCCTCAGCTGGCCTCACCTCACAGAAAGGGGACGGAGTGGTGGCTGCTCCACAGAAGCCTGGCTCCCTGCCCTCCTCACAGCCCGACACAGCAGGGCGGGGAGCCATGGCCAGGGTGAAAGCCTGACTACTCTAGTGTCCTGAGCCCAGGGTGAGAGTCAGAGCCCACGAGTCTACGAAGCAGGCATGGAAGGAGGGGGTGAGGCAGAGAGAGGGAGGGCAAGGGGTGTCCTGGGGAAGGGTCTGCGGGGGAGTGGGCCAGAGGGGAAGGGAGTGGGGGTGGAAGCCCAGGGGCTTAGGGGGGTCAGAGGGGGAAGACACTAAAAAACTACAGGGGGCACCTGTGGAATCACAGGAGGTGAGGAGGGAGGAGGCAGGGCACGAGGTGAGGGAGGGGAATGTGGTAAAAAGAGACACTGAGGCAGGGGAATGGGCCTGAGAGGGGAAGGAAGTGTGGTCTGGAGGAGGAGAGACTAGGAGACTAGCGGGGCTGAGGGGGAGAGAGACAGGAGACTTGGGGGGCTGAGGGGGAGATAGGAGACTGGGGGGCTGAGAGGGAGATAGGAGACTAGGGGGGCGGAAGGGGAGAGACTAGGAGACTTGGGGGGCTGAGGGGGAGATAGGAGACTGGGGGGCTGAGAGGGAGATAGGAGACTAGGGGGGCGGAAGGGGAGAGACTAGGAGACTTGGGGGGCTGAGGGGGAGATAGGAGACTGGGGGGCTGAGAGGGAGATAGGAGACTAGGGGGGCGGAAGGGGAGAGACTAGGAGACTTGGGGGGCTGAGGGGGAGATAGGAGACTGGGGGGCTGAGAGGGAGATAGGAGACTAGGGGGGCGGAAGGGGAGAGACTAGGAGACTTGGGGGGCTGAGGGGGAGATAGGAGACTGGGGGGCTGAGAGGGAGATAGGAGACTAGGGGGGCGGAAGGGGAGAGACTAGGAGACTTGGGGGGCTGAGGGGGAGATAGGAGACTGGGGGGCTGAGAGGGAGATAGGAGACTAGGGGGGCGGAAGGGGAGAGACTAGGAGACTTGGGGGGCTGAGGGGGAGAGACACTAGGAGACTAGGGGGGATCAGGGGGAGAGAGACAGGAGACTAGGCGACCTGGGGCGCTGAGAGGGATGGATCGGGGGTGGGGAGCCCCCACGGACGAGGGACAGGTTCCGAAGGAGAAGGGGTGAAGAGACTCGAGGGATACCTGGGCGGGGCACTCGGGGGAGGGGAGGGTGACTCGGGTGCTTGGACTGCGGGGAGACTCCCAGTACGGCCCGCTCACCTGCGCGGGGGGGCGGCGGCTCCTCGCACTCGGGGCTCATCGGGGCGCCCCCCCC